CATTGTTCCTTCTAAGCGTGTACCTCGTTCCTAAAACCCATTTCCTTTCCTGAAAACAATATTCCAACCACGCTAAATTCGACATGTCTATTGCCGACGACGCTAGAGTATAAATTAAGAACCTCCTTTTTTTTTATATCTATCACCCCATTGTTCCTTCTAAGCGTGTACCTCGTTCCTAAAACCCATTTCCTTTCCTGATAACAATATTCCAACCACACTAAATTCGACATGTCTATTGCCGACGACGCTAGAGTATAAAATAAGAACCTCCTTTTTTTTTTATACCTATCACCCCATTGTTCCTTCTAAGCGTGTACCTCGTTCCTAAAACCCATTTCCTTTCCTGATAACAATATTCCAACCACACTAAATTCGACATGTCTATTGCCGACGACGCGTTTCGCTCAATTCATAGCTCTTCAGGCCGGCTGGGATACATCAAGTACAGTTGTGGTCGGAACACTATTTATATAAGCCATTTGATACACCAATAATTGTTATGATGTGTACGCCTTTTATAAGCCAACGAAGAATTATTTCAATGATACTTGTCATAAGACATCAGTATTAGGCCTCTTTCATTTTTAAACACTACATACTTAATCTAGTTCCTTAGGATTTTCAACAATTAGAAGAGTGTAGTAAAAAAAAAACAAAAACAAACAAGAGGGAACCCTCAATAGCCGCGGCACTTGAAATCCTTTTAGGCAGGATTAGAGTAAATTATATATGAGACCTCTTTTCCTTTTTATTGGCTATATTTTTCTGCGCCAGGGATACCAAGCGTGGGTGTGCGTACACCCGATTCTATTTTATTACTCATCAGGATCTCTACTAGACTATTCTCAAATTGAAATTATTTTAGGCAAGAGTAGAGTAAATTAATCTATGAGACCTTAGGCGTGGTAAAATACATCAATTTAATAGGTTTGACCTTCTGAGTTTAAAACTGTAATTAGACCTCAAATCGATATATGGATGACGAAGCTATGGGCTGAAAGTTTGTACTTGAAAAAACTCAGAGCCATTCTATGAGCCGTTATGCCGCGGCTAAAAAGTATTATAACCATATTATATCTGTCATATCCACTGATTATTCATTAACTGGGAAACAGACTCATTTAGTAACCAATAATACATATTTCCTCGCGTTTTATATTACTTAAGCTTTTCTAAAACTTTGGATAAAATAACTTTACTACTATTCACGTGACGTCAACTCCTACCTCTGTCAAAACAGCAATAGAAAGTCTAATTTATAAACATGGCTACCAATAACATTATGCTAGATGTCAATTTTATATTCGAAAAGGTGGTTTGATATGTAAGGATTAATTAGAAGTATTAATAATAATCTCTACACTGTGTAAAGAATTACTAGCGAATGGAATAGGCTTCATGATTTATTGTAAATTAATCACAAGTTTAATTTGTACACGTGTGCATAAAATAACAATAATAATTGTAGATTCGAACAATCTGTATTGTATGTTAAAAGTTAATTCCAAGTGTTGAAATGGTTATTTAATAGGTTAAGAGTTTAGTATTGATCAAAATGATTAGATAATTAATCCCATATCGAAGAAGCTACATTATAGTATAGTGTTAGGAATCAATCCTTTACTCGAGTAATATTTTTATGTTAAGTATTAATCTTATATTCGAACACATTATAGTGTGTGCTAAAATTCATGAAATACTTTTTTAAGGTAATTGATATACTAAGAAATAAACCCAGATTCACACAAGTTATGTATGTATTTCCAAAAGTTACTTAATTTAAACAAAGTAGTCTCGGTTTCGTACACCTTATAGATTAATAGCATGCTTGAACAAATTATCTAACTTGCTTCAAATTATTTTTATATGGCAAAGAAAGTAGCCTGAAAGTAAAATTAATGAGAATTAATCCCAATTTCGATTAAGTTATTACATATAAATATATATTAGGATTTAATCTTAGATTCGAACACAGTAGAGGATGGTAAAAATATTCAAACCTGTGTATTTACAAGTTTAAATTGTGACGTGGTGAGAAGTAAATGCACATGTTTTAATGTAAAAGTCAAAGCGTGGTTAAAAAGCCTCATAATGATTTCTATCCAGTTTTCTTAAAAATTATATTCTAGAAGGCCAGAAAGTCAAGTTCAGACCAGTAGTAGTTTTTATCGAAAATTCCCAATGTATGAATTTATTTCTTAAAAATCATTATGCTTATTGTTCAGGACAAACAATTGTAGTGGTTCAACAGCCAGGATTTGGGGACAGCCCCGTACAGACAACTTGTCCGAACTGTCAAAACAACATTATCAGTGCTACCGAAAAACAAAATGGGACTTTTTCCTATTTGATGGCTGTTATTGTGTGTCTTTTGTTGTAAGTATTTTTCATATAATTGATTAACCTGTAATATTTTAAATGAAATTTTAACTATTTTGGGAGAGTAACTTTTGTCATGTAAGTCAATTTCACTTGCAATGTCAAGACAGTATAGTGCCAGACAGCCTTTACTGTAATCTGATTATTGTAGAACATTTTATAATTTCCATGGGAGTGTCATTTTCACTTCACTCATCCAGTTACTACAGAGAAATAAGAGATATCTATAAGCACTACAGTAAAATATCGCGATTACTAAAATATGGCACTTAGAAAAGTGCAACATTTTCCATATCTCTTAGCTTAGAAAAGGTAAACTGCTTAGTTTAGTGACATTTTCATATATGCGAGCTTTTGGATGCGTTGACAAACATTTACATATGGTAAGTCCGCCTTGCAAAGTACGGTCAATGCATGTTTCATGTAGACATTTTTAGAAGATTCTCACCGACGACGTTGATAGAGATTTATTTTTGTTTATTCTAATTTATTCGTGTATCTGCTTTTTTGATAACGTCAGCATCCTTAAGTTTAGAAATACCTGGAGGTTAAACACTCCCTAATTTCGTCTATGGAGATGACCAGTGATGTGTCTACGCTTTGTGAGAGATGGCGTTATTTTATCAGTTTTTTATATAACGTTATACTCTCTCAGTCATCTTACAAAACTCCTTCCAGTAATGTCTCTCGACAGAAATGCTTTTGTCGTTTTCGACTTGTATAGGAAGTAAATAAAGATTATGTTTCATTTTGTTAATTTCATTGCTTCAACACAGTAAAGTCGAAAATTCAGTTTTAACTATGCATAATATTTTCTGCTGTATATCGTGGAATATTGCACTTGCAACACTTAATAAGAGGCTTTAATTATTCTGAAAAATTCCGAACATGGTTCCACGTCGTACTTAAATGCATAAAGGTGAAATGGATTTTTCATTGCAATTACACATGGTGGTGCCATGTACGGCTAGAATATGAATTTATTAAAAGGTAATAAATAACTCTTACGTTACAAGGAATACACATTATTTCACATTTTAGAGAAAAATACATAGAGGTTAGACAATAAGAAAATTATTATACGTTTTACTACTAGGAAATGATGGTGCTATAAACCAAAAGCTGAAGTATGTTGGATACCACTGGTGACATCCTTATTCGTTCGTTGAATTTCGCGCAAAGCTACACGAGAGTTATTTGTTCTAGCCGTCCCTAATTTACAAATGATAGACTAGAGGAAAGGCAGCTAGTCAACACCACCTACCGCACACTTTTGGGATACTTTTCTTACAAACGAAAAGTTGGATTGATCGTCACATTATAACGTTCCCAAAGATGAAATTGCGAGTATGTAGGATTCGAAACCACGACCTTCAGGTTGGGAGTCGAGCGCTCTAACCACCAGGTCATTTCAAGCAAGTAAAATTCAACAAATCCGATTAAATTCTAGCTCTTTCGACCAGTTGTCCTGTCATATTCCAGGTTAAAGGAAATGTAGTTTAAACTGTTTGTAAGTAAAATACTTAAAATGTTGTTGCTGAAATAAACATCGTAATTTTTTTGAAATGCTGACTTCTTTGACGTGAAATATACGGAATTGGTTTTCGTGCAAGTTTCTTAATTTTTATCGCTAAAATAATGTTGATAACACGGTCAATATTTTGAAGTTTTATTGTAATCGTAAGTGCTACCCCTCCTGTAATTTTGAGGGCTTATAACGTACAAAATCGAGTTTCGATACCAGTGGTTGGCATAGCTCATTGTGTAGTTTTGCGCGTAACAACGAACAAACATAAATGTTATATTTGAAAATAAAAAGAAGCTTCTTAAGCAACATTTAACAATGTTAATTATGTAACTCCATATTTTTGTGTTATTGAATTATCTAATAGCTAAAATTGTGCTTTTCTTTTAATAGCTGTCCATGTTTTTGGATCCCTCTGGTGGTGGACTCCTGTAAAGATACTGTCCACATTTGCCCTAGTTGTAAGGCCCACCTGGGCGTCAAGAAAGCTATGTAAGCTGCAGGCTTTCTCGTAAAGGAATTTTTAACATTTTCATAAATCCACAAGTGCTATTGTTATACGCACAGTAAGTTACAACGTATTTTCAAGAAGTTGAACAACAGTCATACTAGGAAATTTATACAGTTTCTTCCTGTTGCACCGAGAGAATGGTTTCATCTGGCATGCTTTTGAAATATGATTTTCATTACTAGATAATATACATGACTATTGTTAAAAAATTCCTTTAGAGTTGAAAGTTAAAAACAAAAAAACACGATTACGTAAACTATTTTAGACTTCAAACTTTTGTTTTCGTATAGGTTAAATTTTCCCAACACAAAAATCTTTTCTATTCTGGCTTCTGAGCTAGAACGAGCCAGTCTTTCGATTCTAAACTATATTCCCTAAAACAAAAACTTTCAATAGTATAATTTACCTACCACAAGTAACTTACATTAATATAGACACCACCATCTGGTGACGGGATACATACATTTTTCATAATTAATGGGACTAACTTTCCTTTCCTCTGTCATTGTTTCACTACCTTTATTATGAAATAAAAAGAATGACCTTCAAAAGTGTTTTAGTTTGAAGAAGGTCTAACACATTTTTCGTCAGTTTGGAATGCAATTGGAAACCTCTGATATGATACTATGTATATTTAACATTCTTTATTTCGTATTTTATGATAATTAGTTTAAATTTAAATACTTATCACGAGAACAAATGCGTTACGTGAAAAAAAAAGTTATTCGTCAGACAATAACGGCTAAAATAAGAAACCTTATTTACTTGTATCGTGTACTTTTTAATTAAGTATAAACACTCATTTTATATTTTAATCGTTCACAACTTTTCTGATTTTTTTTTTTAGTTATCTAACTTTCTCAGGAATATTGGAGGATCACAATTTTAATGCACTTATTTTATACATTACCTGTGTCTATATATTAAAAATAATAAAACCGAAAGTTTTAATTATATCTCTCTCTGTCAAAGTTGTTCGTTACGATTTTTATTATTTCTTAGGACTATTCCTGCCTATATAAGTAGCTTACTGTAGTTCCACAGTATTGGACAATGGCGGAAAATTATTGGCTAGAAAAATTGTGTAATATTTTGTGCTTCTGTATACGAATATCTTAAATATTTTAAAATTCTAATCAAGCTGTAGAAACATTTTGAACGGAATGTTTTTCAAATCGAAAACGTTATATCTTTAACAGCTAACAAGCCTAATTTGGTAATCAAAGATTGTTTTGCACAAGATTAAAATTTATAATGCTGAAATATTAATTAAACCAAATGTAACATTTTTTTAAAGAGAATCTGATAAGTGTTTTAACGCAAAGTATTTAATTTTTTAACGTTTTAAAATATAATATAGACCAGTATTAAGAGTGTGAAACCACACAAAATCAATGTGCACAAAGTGCCGTAATTCGTCAAGTGATTGATGTATCATCACCTAAATACTTTGTTTGTAGTTTTAGGAATTTAATGACTTAATAGCGTTGTTTTCGTCTTAATATTGTCATCAATTTATAAATTTTTGTGCTTTAAAGGACTCTATTAACGGTTTTAAGAAATCTTATTAACAGACTGCAACTACTTGTTTAATGAAAAGGGGACGACGTTTTGGCTTCTATGCTGAGGCGGCTCAGTACAGAAGTCGAAACGTTGGCTCCTTCTCATCCAGCAGACAGTTGTAGCCAAGTTAAGTTCTCAAACCTATTATGTCAACTCTGCCCAAAGTTCTACTGAAACAACGAATGTCGTAATATTTTACGAACACGGTTTGTGACGTGCTTTTTCGTTAGTGTATTCCAACGTACAGCATTCTTATATTAACAGCTATGCTTTACGTAATAAATACTTTTTACAAAAAAAAAACAAACTACAATTGTTTTTCTTTTTCATAAAATCAAATACTGCAGATTGCAATCATCAATAAGTTGTCATACTTATAAAATAATCGACAAAAAAAAAAGTCAAATACATAAGTTTTCATAGTTTAACACAACACAGTTCCTGTAATGTAATCGAAAAAGGTAATTACTTCTTAGTTATCAAAAAGTTTACGATTCAGAGTTTTGTCCTGATTGTTAAAACACGCGAGTTTTATTGAATAATTCAATTTTCGTGTGTGTGTGTCTTCTCTAGTGATATTGTTTTTCCATACTTTTTTTTGTATTGAGAAGCAGCAATTAAATAAATGAAGTGATTAGTCAATTTTGATCTTTCAAGAGATCTAGGACACGGGTATGATTAGAAAATGAGCATAAAACAGAAATGAAGTAACAGTTCAAGGATTATATTGGTTAATGTAACATATCTTCCAATAGCCCTAACTATGGTAACATACCCACTGAGATCAACTGATACTGAAAATAAATTTTTTGCCTTTGAAATAATAACATTATTAAGTTGCTTTTACAATTAGAGTAGAACCTCCCCCCCTAAAAAAAACAAAAACAGACAGCCCAGTGTGCTGTTATTAGTTTATATTTTGCATTTTATAAATTTTTATGGATTCAAACTTCAGTGTAGTATATTAAGAAATATAACAACATTACCTCATCATTTCCTCACATATGTAATACTTTCAATTCTTGTTTTATAAGTAACTGATAATGATTTATGTTTTGTACAAAGATTGAAGTTACACCAAAAATCTTTTCTTATAATAGCCAATTACAACTAACTCGAAAGCAGTAACAGCCAGTCTCCACATAGTTCAGCGGTAAGTTTCTGGACTTATCATGCTAAAAACAGGGTTTGATTCCCTACAGTGCACATTGTGTATATTTGCAAAAAACAAATAACAACTGGCTAGAAAATGTTACACAGTTAAATTCACATGCATATTTATAACATAACATAATGTTTAGGAAAAACAAAAGACCTATTGGTCCATATAGGTTGTCCCATCATCTAAACTGAAAGTATTGAAAAAACCCTCAAAGCCAGCCCTTATCATTCATATAATTATCAAGCTTTCTCTTAAACTCACTTAAATTTACTGCCTCCACAACATCTGAAGGCAACCCATTCCAAAGGCCGACTACTCTGTTAGAAAAATAAAACTGTCTTAGATGAAGATGATTCCTACCTTGCCAAAATTTATATTTGTGTCCCCTAGTCCTACTGTTCTCACTGTTAGGTATCAAAAAAAGATGATGCATCAATATCAATTCCTTAACAGTCTTAAACACTTCAATCAGATCCCATATAACTTTTGTTTTTCAAGAGAAAATAATTTCAGAGATCTTAATCTTTCCTCATATGACAACCCCTCCATCCCAGTAACCATCCTCTGAACCCTTTTCAATATTCCATGTCCTTCCTAAGTTAAGAAGACCTTAACTGAACACAATACTCCAAATGTGGCCTAACCAGTGACCTATACAATGAAATTATAACCTCTTTATACTTGCCTATTTGCCCTACCTACTAGCAACACCACACTGCTTGGGTGGTTTATGAGACTGAACAACTACTACACCAAGATTCCATTCTTTCATAAAACTATTAAGGTTATTTCCATTCAAATTATACTTGTAATTTGAATTATGATAACCCATATGCATTATCTTCCATATATTATAATTAAAACTCATTTGCCATTTATTTTCCCAACTCACTAAATGATCTAAATCCTTTTGTAAATCAGCAGCATCCTCTTCACAGCTAGCAACACAGAAGATCTTAATATAATCTGCAAATTAAGTAATTTATTGACTATTCCTTCATCTATGTGATTGATGTAAATCAAAAAGAGAAAAGGTCCTAAGACTGAGCCCTGAGGTACCCCCATTTGTGACATGAATCCAGTTTGACTGAACTCCATATGTAACAACCCTCTGCTTTCTTCTATCCAGCCACTCTTCTATCCAATTTGCTAACTTTTCCCCCACACCTAAAGAGATAATTTTTTAACAAGCCTTTTATGTGGCATCTTGTCAAATTCTTTCTGAAAATCCAGATACACCAAATATACACCCTTACCCTCACCTATATAAGCGGTTACCTTTTCAAATAATGTCAAAAGATTTATAAGGCAAGATTTTCCCTTACAGAAACCATGTTGCCTATCCAGTAAATTTTTAAACTTTGTTAAATAACTTTGTAAAGCACCTTATATCAGACATTCCAAAACTTTTCCCACCATTGATGTAAGACTAACAGGCCTATAGTTACTGAGACAATCTTATTTCCTCCCTTGAAAAGAGGAGTAACATTAACCAACTTCCAATCCTCTGGCATCTGTCAATTATTCAAGGACTTACAATTTGGCTCACATATCCAATCCTTAACCTTCAAAACCCTTGGGGAAGTATTGTCTGGCTCAGAAGCCTTATTGTTCTTTAAACTCCCCAATTTTTTCTTAACAAGCTCAGCATTAATGTGATCGTCTTGTTTGATCTTGTTTCAATCTATCAACTGTTCAAGATGAAGAATATTGCTTAAATCTTCATTAGTAAAAACTGAAGAAAAAGAATTTAATAACCCAGCCATCTCATAATCATCATATATATCAGCCCTTCTTTATCATCCCTTAAAGGTACCACCCCCATCCTAACCTTTTGTTTACCCTTAATGTATTTCAAGAAATCCTTACTGTTAATTTTTACATTTTCAGCCAACCTTTTTTCATACATCCTCTTTAACAAACTTTCCTGATATTCTATAATCTTCTAAATCACCCATTAAACCAGTCAATTTAAATTTCTTAAATTTGTAATGTTTTTCTTTAATTTTATCCCTTATACCCTCTGTTAACCTACCTGACTTTTTACTTGTCCTTCCTAAGTTAAGGAGACCGAGACTGAACACAATACTCCAAATGTGGCCTAACCAGTGACCAAAACAATGAAATTATAAACTCTTTAGACTTGTATTCAATATTTTTGTAGATACTACTTAAAATCCTATTTGCCCTACTAGCCACCCTTTTCTTTCTATAAGGAATATGTTTACCGTTACTACTTAAAAATGTATATTTAAAAATTTTTCACATTTGATCAGTATCTCCAAATAACTCAGCTGCCCAATTCACATGAGATAATTCTTGTCTCATCTCTTCAAAATTTGTTTTTTGAAATTTGTAACCAAATATCATTATTTGTGATCTCCATACGCAGCAAAATATTGAACCTAATATAGCAATGATCACTTGGCCCAGATGTTCCCCAATTTCCACCCTCTCAAACATTTCTATACTAGAAGTTAACAATAAATCTAAAATAGCAATGTGTCTAGTAAATTCTTTGACCAGTTGATGAAGAAAACCATTCTGACCAGTTTTCAAAAACCTTTCTCCTTCATTTCCTAATCTATGTGCCTGAAATTAAATTCACCCATAATTATGACCTCATTAACAGCTTAAATTCTTAATTTCACTGTACAGTTTCTCACTAATTTCATCAGTAATATCTGGTGGTCTGTAAAAAATACTCACTAAAAGCCTTTTTCTTTCGTACCTGCTAAAAGAAAGCCAAATGGATTCAATCTCTTCTATTATCTTTGATATCCTCAACTTCAACAAGATATAACTTACAATGTACATATAAAGCCACTCCTTTCTTTAAATGCCTTTATTAACCTCTTGTAATTATCAGTTAGCTCCTCTGACCTACCTTTCCCTACATCATTATCCCCTATGTGTAAAAACTGCATCATTACTAGTCCCCTTTATTATATCTCTTGCTCTGTCAGTTATATACTTCACTATGTCCATGGTTAGCATAATCTAATTCTTTTCTCCCTGTTTACCTCACAGACTATGCTATCCACATGTCTTGTCAAAGAATCACCTCTTTCTATAATCTCCTTAAGTTTATCATTCACATCCTTGTCTGTCTCTTTTTTTTTTCCTTCCCTCCACAAGCCAAGAGCTGAAATCTGTTGCCTAATAGAACATGCTCATTACAATTAAATTCATTACTTTTAGCCCTAGTAGTACTGTTTCTAACTTCCTGAAAGTCGTTATTACCTGATGTATCCCTTGCATGTAAAAGCTTAAGTTCCTCTTGAAATCCTGGTGCCATTTCCCTCAGTTTACACTTCTTTTTTATCTATTGCCTCCAACTTGCAAAACCTACATACAAATTGCACATCTTTGCTGCTAGTTTCCTTAAAAGTACATATTAGATGAGTTTCCCAATAAAACCCACTTGTTGCACCCATCACATCTAACAAACTGAATGCTTAACTCCTACACTAGTTCTTAACCATTGTATTTGTAGCCTGGGAATAAATAAATATTCAACACTAAATACCAGTAGCCTATTGACAACAGAGTTAAGCCTAATGTTTGAGAATCAAATATATTACAGTATTTTATCACAACTTTATCTTCACACTAAAGTAATTAAGTTTATCTTTAACTATATAGAAGAGTCAAACAACTGGTCTTTACTTTAGTTGATAGTTATGTAATAATACAATGTATTTAGCCTAATTTATAACCTACCTATAAGCTGAATTTAAACTAATGGATCTAAAGCCAAGTAACTAAGTCTGTAACTAAACTGATTTGTGATAATTTGATGGTTAAATTAACTGAAACAGTGATAAATTAACCCTTTACACCTTTTCATTAATTAGCATTAACTGAACTTTGGAAAATGCAAGTATTTATAAGTACATACCGTCTTCAAGGTAAGTGTGTAACACAATTAATGCTTATGCTTCATGTTGTCATGTTTTAAAAGAATATATATATTCCAAAATGCTGTAGTTTAATCTTCCCATGATTTTTGATTAGGGAAATGTTATTCTAAAAACCTAATTTAGGGAATTTAATGAAAGAAGGCACACCTTAAGATACACTTCACTATTTCTGATAAATGGTGAAATTACTAAAAAAACTAATTTAACGTTTTTGATATGCCCTACTCAAGCCTATAGAAGGAAGGTCTACCTTCCTAATGTGGTAGGGTTATCAGATTTCTACTGCACTGTTTCTGATGTTTAAAGGTATTATTCAAGACATACTCCAATTAAGAATTTTTATGATGAAAGCTATGGCTCAAGGCATATCACATGTTTCTGATGATGGGTGGTATTACCCATAACCTAACTTACAGTTTTGATTGATGTCTAAGTTACTCAAGACTTACTCCATTACTTCCAATAAGGATTTTTTTTTTCCTGAGCTAAGACTACTGTGACTTCAATATTAGGAAGAAAATTGAAACAAATCACTTTCTTAATTTTTTTTTTTACTAAACTCACCAACAACTGAAAAAAAAGTCCAAGCAGCTTATAAATTGTCACCTTTACTATATTTTACATTTTTTCTTAGCAGTAAGAGAATCTACTAAGTTAAATATGAAAACAGGAATGATACCAGTGTTGTACTTGTGATTATACCAAGTTAGTCTAAGGTATGGGAAGCTATCCTAACAAAGTAAATAGTATATTTACAAACAGTAAAAACTAAAAAATTAAATAAAAATACAAAGTGAAATGCTGCATTATAAGAATACTACACATTTAAGATAAAATTTTTATAACAAAAACTAGAAAAATGTATATTGCACAAATAAATATATAAAAATTATAAAATAGTTTAACATACAAATTGAAATCATTTTTGTTGCTAAAAAAATGAGATTTTCAATATATATTCACTTAGAATAAACCAAGCAAATAAGCAATCTGTTGGACACTACCCTCTATATGTGTAATATGAACAGATCATCCAATAAATTTGTATGAAATATATGATCCAATCTGATGCTAGAGCAATATATATGGAACGTGAATTATACCTGTTCCGTGGAAGCACCTCACACAAAATAGAAACCAAACACTGACGTCACAATACAGACAGTTATGACACAGTGACGTCATCTAAGCTACAAGAAGCTATCCTACAGGTATTGAGCAACCACGTGTTCAGCACAAAATGAGAAGGTGAAGTTAGCTAAACCTGACTTGATTTTTGTGTCTCTACCAAAAGAACTACAATGAAATTTCCTTTATCAAGCCAAGATAAATATGACAGTGTTCGAAGCTCAGGTTTTTTCAAATTTGTTTGGTGTTGTTTCTTCAATTCATTTTCTAGATTCCCTGACTCTTAAGACCACTGTCAGTCAGTTTGTAACCCGTATATAGATGCCTCTAAGGAGCAAAAACATCAGTCTCAACACTTGCCTGGTAAACACAATAATATTTTTAAACTTCGGTTTCATGAACTAAACTTTCTAACCCTCAAACACTATCCACTGACATGAAGTGCATGCTGGGAACTTCTCGTGGTGGCTGTGGGCGGTGCTCAAAAGGAGGTACGTGATCTCGCCGTCTTTTACGTTTCCGGTGGCAGATGGCACATAGAGCAAGAATGGAAAATGCAGCTGCACCAACACTTAACCCAACCACAAGGTACATGTCCATATGAACTTCTTTGGCACCTAATGGATAGAAAATGAATTATTTAAGTTCTAGTAAAGTAACGACAACAAAATTGTACCTCAGATGATACACAATGTCACAGCCACAAATATGCTATAAGCCCTCACTACTTCTAGAGAAAACTGTGAATCTTTTCCAATATATAATATTAAAATGAAAAGATGTTTTTAATGTGATAAAGAATAAAATGGCTAACATTTGTTTCAAGTTCAGGTTTATCACACTTAATAAATGAAAAACTTGTGTGAAGATCTAAGAATCTGAGAACAATATACGTGAAAAGCATATTTTGTTCCCTTCTCATATATTGTATAACTATCAACCTATTACTGTAAATTTAGACAATGGTGTGTAACCTAGAATCACATAAAATTTTTATTAAAGTTATAGATTTCATTTCATCAAAATAGGTCAAAGATTTTAAAATAAGATTTATACTAAACTTTTACACACATCATAAACATTTATTAATAAGTAGGCAAGCTTTAATAGTAAGTCATAAAACATCATCAATGATATGAATAGAATACATTTCACTCAAATTGAAATACAAGGTTGACTATCTTTGCAACTGTGTTGTGTATTACTGTATGCTTGACAGAAAAAAATAACCACAAATGAATTTTTTGCACGATAAACACAGCAACATAACTATGTCAGTAATGGAAAAATAGATGGGTAAGTAACAATAACAAAATCATTTCAGTAACAATATGGATTAGCCAATAACAACATCACAGCCAGGCTAGTAACAGTGAAATAATCATGCAGGTAACAATAATATAGCTATGTCAATAACAACAATACAGCCAAGCTAGTAAAAGTGGAATAATCATGCAGGTAACAATAATATAGCTATGTCAATAACAACAATACAGCCAGGCTAGTAAAAGTGGAATAATCATGCAGGTAACAATAATATAGCTATGTCAATAACAACAATACAGCCAGGCTAGTAAAAGTGGAATAATCATGTAGGTAACAATAACATAGCCATGCCAGGGACAATGATACAGTCAGGCTAGTAACAGTGAAATAATCATGCCAAGGACAATAGCACAGCTAGACTATCTAGTAATAATAATAATGTACAGATGCAAGAAACTGTTACATAACCATCTTAGTAAAAAAAACAGTACTAGTAAAAAGAGTGAATGTACAATTTATTAAAATGAAATTAGACAACATTAATCAATAGGCAACAATAATCTGATAACAGGTATAATTTACTTTATTACCATATGAAAATGCAACTAATGATAAACTGTCAAATGCAACTTAACAATAGAGACTGTGCATGTATATCAAAATACAAACAAATCATAAAACAATAACCTGACACACACACGTACCATGTACATTGTTATAGTTCAGTGGTTTCTAAACATTTTGAGTGAAAAACCTCAAAACTTATCCTAGTTCATCCAACTACTACAACTCTGTAATACTACTAGTATGTCTAACAACACTGATATTATTCCTATCAGCGTTACATGTCTGTTCACTCATACTCTTGAGTTTGTCTTTACATCCTGTCTTTATTATGAATGAATCCATCACTAAATTCAATATTTACAGCAAACACCACAGTCAAGTGTTTTAACTGGATGCAAGCAGCAAGCCATTGCAGTGAAAAAACAATAAAAAACAAGCATCTGAAACTACATTTGAAAAGTAAACTGGACCAAACCAATCACAGAGGTTGGCAATGATTTTAACTTAGCTACTTTCATTTACTAATATTGCATTTTAATTTTATTCATTTAAATTTTCTATGCTTTATTGTAAGAATTAGCAATCACACTCATTCTAGAGCCATCATATATTATGTACCATTAGTTTGGAAACAATGCTAAAGAGAATATACCACTAGCTGTGAGTTGATAAACATGTATACTAAATTTCTAAAGATAATGTATCATTAGCAGTGAGTTGATAAACATGTATACTAAATTTACACAGAGAATGTACCACTAACAGTGAGTTGATAAACATGTATACCAAATTTCTAAAGGTAATGTATCATTAACAGTGAGTTGATAAAAATGTATACTAAATTTATACAGATAATGTACCACTAACAGCGAGTTGATAAACATGTATACTAAATTTCTAAAGATAATGTATCATTAACAGTGAGTTGATAAACACGTATACTAAATTTCTAAAGATAATGTATCATTAGCAGTGAGTTGATAAACATGTATACCAAATTTCTAAAGATAATGTATCATTAACAGTGAGTTGATAAACACGTATACTAAATTTCTAAAGATAATGTATCATTAGCAGTGAGTTGATAAACATGTATACCAAATTTATATAGAGAATGTACCACTAACGGCGAGTTGATAAACATGTATACCAAATTTATACAGAGAATGTGCCACTAACAGCTAAGTTGATAAACATGTATACCAAATTTCTAAAGATATTGTATTATTAGCAATGAGTTGATAAACATGTATACCAAATTTCTAAAGATAATGTATCATTAGCAGTGAGTTGATAAACATTTATACCAAATTTCTAAAGATAATGTATCATTAGCAATGAGTTGATAAACATGTATACCAAATTTCTAAAGATAATGTATCAATTAGCAGTGAGTTGATAAACATTTATACCAAATTTCTAAAGATAATGTATCATTAACAGTGAGTTGATAAACATTTATACCAAATTTCTAAAGATAATGTATCATTAACATTGAGTTGATGAACATGTATACCAAATTTATACAGAGAATGTACCACTAACAGTGAGGTGATAAACACGTATACCAAATTTATACAGAGAATGTACCACTAACAGTGAGGTGATAAACACGTATACCAAATTTATTCAGATAATGTACCACTAACAGTGAGTTGATAAACACATATACCAAATTTATACAGATAATGTACCACTAACAGTGAGGTGATAAACACGTATACCAAATTTATACAGATAATGTACCACTAACAGTGAGGTGATAAACACGTATACCAAATTTATACAGAGAATGTACCACTAACAGTGAGGTAATAAACACACATACTACATTCCCACAGAGGGTGTATCACTAACAGTGAGGTGATACACATGTATTCCACATTCCCACAAACAGTGAGTTGATAAACATGTATACCACATTTCTACAGAGGGTGTGCCACTAACAGTGAGGTGATAAACAAGTATACCACATTTCTACAGAGCTCATAACTAACTATAAGATCACAAATACAGATATTTATATCACTATACAATACAGAAAATTTACAACTTGCAATTAAAAATAAACCAAGAAATAGATACATTGCCATGTAATACAGACTGCAAAATCAACACTGAATTGAAAAATATGTATACCAAATTAAAATACACAGTGTGCAATTAACATACAGGTATACCACAATGCTGTGGGGGAAATTTCTTACAGTTCTTTTCATCAGTGTCATCATTGATGCCACAGTTTGGTAGTTTATTACATTTGAGGCTGGATGAAATACAGAACCCGCTTTGTCCACAAAGTAATCCTTTGCACACAGTGTCAGCTGTAAAACAGCAATACAAGGACCTTACACATGTGACATCACTGGAAGCAGATAATCAGATACTGGTAGATACAGTTTAAACAAACCAACTGGTAAAAGGTTAAATGCATTTAAGCAGACAGATCAGAAGCAAAAGAAACAAACTAGCTGACATAAATAAACTGATTATTTGCTACAAAATCCATTTGATTTTTTTTACTTCAAAATTTATAACAAAACTTGTTATTGTTTTAATTTGCTTGCTTTTCTTCTATGCATTTGTTACACACTGTGGTGTTTATGAGTTTTGATAAAGAAAATGAATTCAGAATTAATAAGATTTTACCTTCTTGTACCTCTGTCCAGACTGCTTTAAATCCTCCAGAACCAACAGCCTTATCTGCTGTGACAAATCTGGAAAAAACAAAAAATACTGTTAATGTGAATCCAAATTCCCAATTTGTATGAACATTGATAATGTCAAACATTTATCATATAATTAAATGTAATGAAATTTAGATAAATAACTAGATAGTTGAGAGATGCCAAAAGTATAGACAACTAGACCACAAGAGACATATAAACAGATGAATAGCCAGTTACAGTTTGAGTGATAAGTAGCATACAGTTTACACACATAAAAATAGTTTAAATCAGAAATGAAAACTATCTTTAATTATTCTGCAAAAAATAAAACACATCTACTACAAAAACAAAATGTGCAACTGAAAATAACAGTTACCCAGTGCAATATATACATGAATAAGAGTATCTGGATAGCACACTGGGGGCACTATCTTAACAAAGTGTGTTCACCTTTGACACTCATTATACCATATGTTAGTAATACTTGGCACTAACCCACTGTTATACATCTTATGAAACAGACTGATACTCCTCATGCTAATCATCTTCATTGTATATCTCAACAACCTCTGCCAGAATGGCCTGACTGGATTTAGGTCAGTGTTTTGTGCTGACCAAGGCAAATTGTGGATATTAATCATTTTTCTCAAAAAGGATTCAAAACACTGCTGAAAATAATGTATTTTATGGCGTGGCACATTATTATGTTCAAAGAAGTATGATTCTTTCCCATAAACACTTATCAAATCAGACAGTGGAGCACTGTACAGAATGTTACAATATAAAAAGACATTCATGACTCCAAACTATCAATAATGGGATAAATCCAAACCAGGTATAACAGACTTGCACCAGAATTCCACTTTCACTGCCATCTGAAGCAAAAAATTAGTAGCAGGATTCATCACTCCACACGATGATTTTCTGTTATGCTTCACTCCAGTTTCAATGTACAAGGTACCTTGACCTTTCATTCATGACTGTAATGAATGGTCTATTGTTATATAGAGTTCTCTTTGTACAGTTGATGAGCTGACATTTTTGTCTGAACTCTTATTTAAGTTTTCAGTAATGGATTTCATGCCAGATGTGGTGTTTCTGTTCACAGCACAAATCAAAGTTTATATGAACCCCAAATGGTGACAAATTTTGGGCAGCTGGCCAGATCTTTCATAAAAGCACATCCACCAACATTCCATTTCTTTAGCACATTATACAGAGTGAACTGAAACGTTTCAATCCATTATATCACCAATATTATATCAAAGAACTATTTCTTTTTGGAGTTTCATAGCTTCATTTTAACTGTTTGTCTGTGATATGTGGTAATATTTATTAACACAGAGGAAAAGTGCAACAAGGGATTTTCCCAACTGGGGGTGTACTTGCCCAATGCTTAAAGTAAAATAGGGTATGTTGTAGTTACTACTGGAGGAAACTGAACAAAAAAAAAGCCCTTTACTTATCCAGCACAGTACACATAACCCTGAAAGAAGTAGAAATAAAGGAAGAACTATCCTTAACAAATAAAAATAAAATGTTGGTATAAATTTTATATCAAAAGAAGTAGTTTAATAGTTAATTAGCATAAGAATAACAAAGAATTAATACTCCCTGTGTATGTACAAACAAAAATAGTATTTATAACGATTAAATACTCATTCAATTCATAATCTAAAACTAGGAAATAAATACTATTGCCTATAGTTGGATTTAGATTTTTGTTTAAATATTTGTTTACACAGTTGAGCACACTTACTGTAGTTTTAACACACTTGAGGATGAGAGTATTTGACGGGTGTCATTTGTTAACTTTTCACCACAGAGTTCAATAGGTGGCTGACTAAGGTCACTCCACACTCTTACAACAGCTCCTGGGCATCCCCTTTCTGTAATTATTTTCATTATTTGGTGAGCAGCAACATAGAAAAATATCTATGTTACATTAAAACATCAATATATAACTGATTTTTGTAATTGCTATAATTAACAGAATGCAACTCTTATAACACCATATTAATTACATGCAAGTTTAATTTATGACCACTTTTTGCTAATTAAATCAATATTAAAAGGAAACCTATATAACACAAATCTACAAACATTTCATTGAGTTAACTAAAGTTGAAAAATATTCATGTTTTCATATTGTTTTATATAATAGTAATTTTAATATACACATAATGTACAACAAAATTATTTCTGTTTTGAGGTATTTGAAAACTACTACTTAAGAATTCTTTATTTGAAAACAATTACTAAATAATTCTTTGTTAAAACAACATATCTTTAAAAAGGTAAAAACAAAATGGTTTTTATAATATGAAACAGAGGTATAACAGACAGACAAGATAATCTTCTACATTAATAAAAAAAATTAACATCAATACATTTGAGTAGACTAGAGTAAGTAAAAATATTATTTCTTACCATCTGGTTCCCCTTCAATCAAGAAAAAGTCAAACAAGAACAAAACTTTGTGAAATGGCCGGACGGTGATGTACCAGTTACACAGTTGTCGGTGAGCCTCGTATTTCGAGGGGAAACTTGGGCTGGTAATTATGCCATTTGCACTACCTGTTATATTTCCTCCACAATCTAAGTTTTGTGCAGATGAAATGAATAAGTAGGTAGCACTGAATCCACTAGCCACCTCTACTTTGTCTGTTCTAAATACCACTTTCATATCATGTATGCCCACGTCAGACACAATAGGTCCAGGAGCTGTCTTGGAACAGTACTTGCCAAACTTATTTTCTCTACCACTAGGATACACTTCAAATATTTCAATCCAGTCTTCTGTGCACATTTCACTAAAAGAAAAAAATATCGAATTAAAATAAGTTGTTTAAATGTATCATTTGTCAGAAAAGGAAAAAAATTAAATACAGGCTACAGTTCATTTTACACGAAAATACAAATTGTATAACCCTCCTTGTTCCTTATGTGGAAATTGATTCATAATGTTAGAAGAACATGTAGGTTCAAAAAAATCAATTAAAGACAAAAATATGAAACCATATAACCCTTCATTCCTTGACTTTAGATGTAGTTAGTAAGAAAGGGCAAAAAATATAATACAGACAACAGTTAGTTTTACATATACCTTATGCATCATTTGTCAGGAAAGAGAAATATTTATAACTACAGGCACAAACCTACTGAAGTCCTTAAGCAAATAAAAGTATAATTAACAACCCCCATTATCCAGCACTTGATGCTTACCTATATAACTGACATAAACCTTCCAGAATTTATTGATTCTATCAGACTGCACAAAGTATTGGGTTTTTAAAACCTTTGAATTTTAAACACTTATATTAATGGGTTACTAAGTAATTTATTTACCCAAGAAAGTAAACTAAGTTTATATTATTACAACCTAGTTTAACTTACTTATACCCACTGGATGTTGACAGAAGACGCTTGGTTTTAAAGTAGTTGAAGACAAACTGGACCTGTTCTCCTGGAAGTCCTTTGAAGATGTACTGGCAATAGGTGTTTGAAGGATAGTTGGCAGGGTACCTTGGTGAATTGAACTCTCCTGTTTTTCTGCTCTCACTCTTGTAGGTAAAATGGCATTTCCCATTAGGAGAAGGTGTACCAGGAACTCTGTAGTCTGAGTTAAAAATAATAAAATAGGTTAAGATATTAATAGTGTTCCATTAGCTTAAGGTAATGTTGATAAATAATAAACAGGGATCCTTGATTCTTCATAAAATATCAAGACTTACAGATGTTCCCTCCATTTTTTGGAAAAACATTATGAGATAGAAATATTTAGACTCGAAGATGATCCTATCTTTTGTGAGCTACCTTGGATACAAATGATTAACTGACACATAATTCTTTCTCTTTCTGGAAGATGAACACTTAACATGATAGATAATCCTATTATGAGGTAGGAATTATTAGACTGATTCCTTTTCATGAGATACTTTGAGGAATAATGGCTAAACTGACAGAAAATCCTGTCTTTTGAAAATAAATCTAATGTGGAAATTAATTATTATACTGACAGATGATTCCAATTTTCATGAACTATCTTAAAAAGGAATGAATAGATTGATAGATAGATATTATTTATATAAATAATATTTATACTCTAAAGCAGAAATGGTTAGAATGAAAGATGAACTGATATAGGAATTGTTAGATTGATCGATGATCTTGTCATTCTTGGAATACATCAAAGTAGGAATAATAAAGTGATAGATGATGAAGTTGTGTATGAAGTGTACTGGGGAACAAGACAAACCAAGATATACTAGTTATCTAATTGAAAATAAAACTAAAACATATAACTTTATTTATACATATAAATGAAAATCAATGCATAAAATGTCCTAGATAAGTCACTGGCAAGTTTCTCAACTTACAGTGTAAAAATATGGAGTTCAATTCCCCATGATGAACTGAGCACAACTAGTCCATTGTGCTGATTTGAGTTAAAATCCAACAGCAACAACAGTGCATAAACAGGATTATTTACTTTAAAAGGAGATACAAGCTATTGCTTACTTGATACACTGACTAAACAATTTTGGCATATTTCCATCTTTAAACTAATTTCCCATAAGTTTTAACATGAGTCCCATCTTTTCTTCAATGCATACATGATGAAAGGAAACAGGTTACAAATGTTTTTGAACCTCCCCTTCTTGAACAAAACATGTAATTTCAGTGAAGAAAAGAAGAAATTTTGAATGATATAGAGGCGTAATCTATTCTTTGATTAGCTATTCCCTCTGCAGTAGACTATACTTTCATCAAACACAGCTCCTTAGTAATGGTGGGAGAACAAATAAAAAAATACATTCTTTTGTGGAATGTAAACAACTTTTAGATTCTCACATAAAGTCATTTTAATACCACTACTAATCTAAAATACTTTAGGTTTTTGAATAACACATGACTATACCATCAAAATTAACTATTCATTAATATTCAGTGGACTAGATGGCAAGTAAAAGACTTCACATCAAATCCTACAAAAAGGATACTTTTTTTACTAATAGTTAACTACAAAAAAAAAAAAATGAAGACCCCTTCCATTTTAATGAATAGGGAGCTTATATAAGAAAGACCTGAGTACACCAACCTGTTTGAAATGTATATCTAACTTTAAATCCTTTTCCTTGTGAAGAACCACTACTGAAGATCATCATCAGGCGAGGTCCTTCTGACACAACAGGAGGAGGAACAACCTCTCCACAGAAAACATGATCATACTCATCCACTGCATGTCTTTCTTCTTGGCCTTGCAGATAGAGCTTTAGGTAAGCTTCATTACACCTGACACATGGAACAATTTTTAAAAGGAGTTGAATAAAAAATGTTTGAAAAATAACTCATCTTTCAAGTCATCATATAAAATCAAATGTAAATTGAGTACATTTCATATGTTGTAGTTTGACTCATTATTTATAAAAAAACAAATTGATTAATTGCAGAAAAACTGAAATTTATGCTATTGTTGAGTAAACTTGTATGAAATTAGTTTAATTATTCTCTGGACTTTTCAAATACTAGGTTTGGGTTGAAAAACTGAAGTACTGTCTATTTGATGTGTTATCTCTAGGGTAAAACATTAGCATCATTTGGCATTTCTTTAATACCTCTTATATCTAAGCTGCTTAGGGCATTTATCTGGAATTTTATTGTTGCCAAAGAAGAAAATTTTTAATATATCAGTCCCTGTAATAACAAATTATCTTCCATGCCTAAAAATTAAACTTTGACAAATCATTAAATGTTTCCATAATATATGCGAGGTCTCTTGTGAGTGATCATCAAAGGTAAAGTAATTCTATTTTGGAAGCATTTAACATTAGCACCATCTAGTGCTAAATATATACAGTTGCTGTGATTTAATTGCTGTTATTGAGTAATGTTAATTATTGTATGCTTTATTAGAAGGTTGATGCCAAAGTACTCTTTTTTGAGGATTAATGACTACAGTTTCTTCTTTAAATTAATTATTTATCCTGTTTCTTTTAACTTTGAAATCAATTATATATGTATTTCAGTGTTTTCTAAACTGTGGGGTATGGTCTTTTACCAGGAGAACCCAAAGAAACAATGAAAGAAGCAGAAAACATGAAGACAAGATAGAATAGGCTAACATAATTAAAACTTATAATATAACAAAAAATAAATAAATCCCACCAGGAGGCCAGCTGGAAACCCTGTTTGTTACTGCTCCTTCTTACTATGCTAGGATTGGGTACTGCACATGAAGGGGGGGGGGGGAGGAGAAAAATAACGCTGAGTTTGGGGGCACCACTACATAAAGTTTGGAATCCACTGATGTAAGTGATTATAAAAAAAGAAGATTTAGGAAAGTAGGTCAGCAAAACAAAAATCATATAGTTCTATGGATGAAAAACATTCTCAGCTAAGTAAAGTTATCTGTCCATTACCACAAGGATTATTCAAAATGTACTAATTCTACACATGCATATATAATGAAATGGCAAATTTTATGTTTTCTAAATGAGAGATAAGTTGATATATAAACTCATTAGCAGGTCTGTGACATGTAAACACTTTAAAATAATATGATGAAACTTAGTCAAGTAAAATGTAAATCACCATACTCTTCATCATTGTTAGGAATGTCGAACTTGTCAAACTCAAGCCTGACTTTCTCCAAGTTTTGAGCATCTTCCATACCATAGATGTAGTAGCGACACATAATGTGTGAGTAATAGAGAAATGGCCAATTAGGAGAATAAACAGTACCGTTGGACTCCTGCTTGCTCAATACCTTCTGATCACACTCTGTACATGAAAAAACATCATTTAATCAATACACAACTAAACTTTTATTTTCTTTGAAATATGTTATACTCTTAATACTAGTAACAAATGACCTTATAACACCAAATTTGTTATTTTTCTTTAACTGGAAACTCAAGAAGAAGAATAACAAATTTGGTGTTATAGAGTCGTTCATTACTAGTATTAAAATGCCTCTTATACTCAAATATACACTACAGGAATTAAATAATATTATACTCTTATTGAATAAGAGTGTTTGGCTAAGAATTATATGTTCGAATACTAAATAGATGTCTTTAATATATTTAGTTTTCTTACCTGTTCCCCTGATATGCTGGGCATCATGTTTTCCAATAAAGGCTATAGTAAAAGAGAAAATAAATACGGTTTGCATAACATTTGTGTATAATTAATTGTTTATAGCTTTCTTTATATATATATATCTAAGCACCTTTATTGGTCTACCTACATACACCAAGCTAAATATTTTCTAACACGTTAAATTTTGATTTTTCAAATAAAACAGCCAGTGAAAAATTATTGTTGATTTCCTTACCTAAATTTACAAACACTTCACTAAATTCGAAGAAGCCAGAGAATCCTCTGTTTTGTGTATCAGCTGTTCTCTTTAATGTTTTAAACTCTACATACAGATTCTCTGCAGAAGAATACACCATGAGGTTACGTCGCTGACCACAGTAGGTTCCAATCAAGGGATCCTCACTCGAACTGCCATCATACACTTTTACATGATCAAAAGGGCAGCTGAACATATAGAAATATCAAATGACATGTATTAAAAAATAAGAACGTTAATTCATTTCTTAAGGAAAGTTCAAAATCCAATATTTTAACTGCAGTATTTGATTTCTCTAAATTATGATGTGATCTATGATGGTTCTGTACAAATGTTTATTTATAGATCAGTTTTCAGTTTGTCATGATATAATTATGGCTAATATGTTTAACACTACAAACTTAAGATGTTGACAATATTCATAAACATAAAAAAGCTAATCTTAAGGCTTTGGAATTACTAATGGGTTGTTTGTTTAAAAACCAACAAAAAGCTCAACAAAATTAGCAAACGTAGCACATCTATATACGACAAAATTTATTTCATAAGACCTTGACATTAATGTCTTTCTTACCAAAGAAATATAAAATAAATAACAGTGTATGAAATACTTCATAAAATAATGTTTCATGTACAACAATAAAGTGAAATTAAATTTTTCCAGCAGTCCAAAAAACTGAAACAGAAAAATGTTTCAAGTAGTCTAAAAGTTAACTTTTACACAATTATATATTCCTAGCAAATCCGATATATTATATATTTCTTGGTTTAAGCGTCTTCATGTATTTGAAAAACCAGTCTATTGCCATAGAAGTAGTAATCAAAGAATAAGTTAGGCCTCTCTACATAATCTTTGACCCACTGAATTTCATGTTTTGGTAACAAAAATAAAAAAAAAGAAATTAACAAATAAATAATGTTTTATTTTTACAATTTTATGTTCCTAGCAGAGCCCCAAAATTACGTTTTATATATTTTTAGCAGACTTACAGTGTTGAACGATGAAAACATTTACAGAAGATTTAAATATCAAGTAAATACACTGAAAAACCTTTATTTGCCCTCAAAATATTCTCATAACACTGCACCTTTTTTCACCAAAAACCCTGAAGATTTAATTTTTATACATATTGAACAAATTGGAAGTAATTAGCTTTATGTCTGTATAGGTACAAAACTATTAAGTCAGCATTATGTCTATATAGGTACAAAAATATTAAGTCAACATTATGATTTTACTTAATACAAACCACTGAATATTAAACTAATGTGCAAAAACTCTTGAGAAACAAACTTATAAATAAAAACTAACCATGCTAGCAACTTACTGAGGTCCTCCATAAAATAAGTCAAAGTCCATAAACTCTACACGGACCCTCTGACCTGCTCCACCTAAAAAGCGATACTGGCAATTTAGGTTTTTAGGATATACTCCAGGATATGTAGGTGAGACAAAACTACCTTCTTTTTTTCTATCATGATATATTGTAAAAGTGCAGACAGAACTAGGTGCTGGTGTGCCAATTTCATACTTGGCTGAAACAGAAAAACACAAATTTCAATTTCCTAAGAAAAGTATTTTTGCATGTTTTTCAAATGAATAAAATTACTATTGAAGTGGTAATAGCTTTATTTTTATCTGAATTAGGTCATTTCTTAAAAATTTAGAAAATTATTCAAGTAAAAAAGAAAATAACATAAATTTATGTATATTCTATTGTTCCAATTGTTTAAAATCAGCATTTCTTATACTTTTTAATACCAGGAACCAGATCTCTGCCTCTCTAAACTGTCACAGACCACTAAAATGTAAGTACAACAAAAAAAAACATTACAAGTTACGTGTGAATATTCTGTTTTCATGAAATCCCACAGACTAGTGGTTGAGAATCACTGGTTTAAATCATACAATATCAATATATTGTTACGTCTCCGTTTGTTAATTAACTTTCCGTAACTTCATTCTGACGAAACTTTAGCAACACAAGTCCTTACTTAATAAAACTGGTTTATTCTTTCCGAATATAACTTTACGATACACTTAATTTCAACAATCGCACTAAAACAAACGCTATAACAACGAACGTGCTCAACTTCAATAATACTCGCTGACTGCAGATCAATTACTCACTGTCTACACACACATTGTCCCGTCACGTTGTGACCATCTTTTATATACCAGACTACCCTATATCTAGTAAATGCTAGGGCATTCACCAAGAAACGTGGCGTGACACTAGTCATGTGACCTCGCTGACGCAACAATATATAAAACAAATATTTCTTCCAGAAATAAATTTTTACATTACATAAAAATTGCATCTGCAGTAAACATTTTATTAAAGAAATCTTCACAAGTTAACTAAAGTGACTGAACGATCTATGAACTTTTAATCATCCTCCATTCTTCATCATCTGATGCTTACCTAAGTAACGCTAAATGGAAGCATGAAACTGTAAAAAAAACAACTCAAAACATTTCCCATAATTCACCATATTTGTTTAGCTTTCTGTCTGTTCCTTTAACAGGAAGAAATAACTGACTGGGCAAGTTATTATAATTCCAACCTAATATCAAGTTTGACCACACCTTTTGCCAAGAAATTATTAACCTGGATTCTGTGCTGGATGGAATGTTGTAGCTAATTCATCAAGGTTTGGTTAAGACATTGAAAACGGATTATGATGATGAATTTGCAATGATGTTTGCCTTGATCCCAAAAATTTTCAATCAGATTGAAATCAAGTATTTAAGTGGCCAAGGAAGATGAATAAAATTACTATATGTCATGCTGTTTGAATCAACTCTGCACAGCATGAGTAAGATGAATTGTTTCATCACTGTTTTAGAAGATTCCATGTTTATCAGTCTGGAAATGTAGCATTGTCGGGTGGACATAATCAATAGCAGTATCCAGGTATATTCTGATTGCCCTTTTTAAAAGGAGTTCCAGCTTGCAATGACATTGTTCCCCCACATCATAACACCACTTTGAAAAGCTTGAACTGCAAACAGGGTTATTTGCCTCTTGTGGTTTTCCTCTTTATTTTCACTCTACCACAGATAGCAGTGAAATGTGATTCATCACAACTAATTACATGCTATCAATCATTCATTGTCCATTCTGGACTCCAGTTAAGTACAATTAAAACTGTGGTTGCCTATTTGCATGAAAAGAAATTTTCTTACTGGCTGTGCCACATGACAGAATCAGTCAAATAGGACACAAGTTATTGCACTTTACAAACCTATTAAATTAGTCAATATCTAAAAGTTAGTAGCCACAGTTTTTTGAAATGACAGATGTATTTTCTTTTGATTGCCATTGTTGACAGCCTTCAATGATAGATGTCTTTGATCAGCCAGTTAACCTTTTATCATCCATGGTAGAGTTTTTTCCATTACCATAATTGGCATAAATATACAGATGGAGATGATGTATAACATGTGTAAATGTAAAGGTGGAGATAATAAAGGGTTAAAACATGACATTTGATAACAAGGCTCCTGCTACATAGCTATCCAATATTACAATCCACTGACAGTAAAAGGTATCTTTGCTCTTCTTGTCCATTCTCTTTTAGACAAACCATGATATAAATACATTTTTGCACTTATAAGGTTCAAGTAATTATCTGACATGTCACATGATCAAATAAATAAAGTCTTCACCAAACGTGTATGTTTCATTGCTGTTCTAATAAACTGGGCCAGTCAGTGTAGCATAAGTAATATGTATATGTATATGTGGTTGTATTATATCTATAAATGCAATTTCCTCTGTTTGAATTATATTTCTGTAAATTAAATTCACATATAAATGGCTCAAGTAAGAGAATGCTTTAAAAATATTGGAAAAACAATACAAAATATAAAAGTGAAGGAAATCTATGTTAGTATGTTTTTAAATGCTATTCTAGAGCTATTGTTCAAAGTATTATGAGTTATACTTTAATAAATTTAACCAGAAAGGTATATTATGTTGGATTATTTATTGTTAAAATTGTATTATGTTTAGTACTGTTTGGACCAATATGAGAAGTATGTATATATTTTTACATGTTTGTTTCAAAAGCCGAGTTTTCCTCGAAGCTAAATATCCACATAAATATCAAAAACAAGAGAAATAAAGAAGTTCAGAATAATCATTATGACTTAGTAAAACCTGGTGATACAAATATTTTGTGTTTATATGTGAATGTTTAAGACTGTGATAATAAAAATACTGTATTTTGACTTACAAGCATTAACAAACTCGTATGTTCCTTGGAAAATGTCTGAAGTTTCAACAGTGACATCTGTATGGAAACCAATGACAAGTGTTTGATACATAGAGATGCGAGTGCGAGGTAAGATTCTGCCACAGTAGCGCCCTCCAAATGGTGTTTTGATAAGGTCTATTAAAGGATCGTCAATCTCAGTATACAAATCGACAAATTCGTTATTGCATCTGGAGGGAAAAAAAATTACTTATAAGATTTTTGTCTGTCTTAAAATTTTTCAAAGGTTAAAAATAAACTATGACTACTCAAATAGTGAAGGAATAGTTTTTTTGCTTGGCCTATGTATGCTACATTGTTTAAACTTCATCCTAATTTTTAATATCTCATATTTACAGGAAATTTTCAATACAATGTTTAATGATCTTTCATCTTAAAATCTAATAATATGAATAGACTCACTGGGATTCTGAAAAAAATACCAAATTAATAATTCCAGTTATACTGAAATAATAAATACAACCTGTTAAAATTCAGAGAGTTATTACAGATTTAGTATTGAACTTTAACATACATAAATGAAAAACATAATGCAACAATTCAATTAAGAATCTAGTCTTGTTATATCAACAAACCATTACACATCAAATAAAATAATAAGAAACTATTACAAAGTGCATTCTGAACACATATTACGAGACAAATAAAAATACATAATACAAAATACATATTATGAAGAGAAACCATTACAAGAAAATATAACACAGAGAAAATTTCATTGGCAAATTCTGATAAGTATTAAAATTAAATAAAACAAAGAACATATGTCACAAAAAGCACATTCTAAACATGTATTAAAAGAATTTCCTTCACTTTTATATTATTTATTGTTTTTCCAATATTTTTAAAGCATTTAAAGCCATTTATATGTGAATGTAATTTACAGAAATTACACACATTGCAAGACACACAGAACAAAAAGAATTAAACTTTGCAAGAGACCCAATGAGAAGTTATTAGCAAGTGAGTTAAAAGAACAGAAAACTTTTACAGGTTTTAATCTATCTTACATGAAATACATCATGAAGAGAAACTGTGACAAGGTAAGTTTTGGATGTGCATTACAAAATAAATAGAACAACAAAGAAACCAATATAAGGTAAATTTCAACAGAATTACAGAATGACGAGAAACTGTATTTCTCTCAGAGGATAAATAATAAGCATGTCTTATAAAGTGTTAAGATTTACTTGAACAAATCCAGTAAATTTTATTTTCAAAATATGTATATATTTTTTAATGTTTAGACACTCTTAAATAGCGATTTAAATGGATAAAAGCTAGTCAGCATTATCTAGATTAACAAGACCATAACTTACTCGGGTGGAGAATCCCGGAGATTAAATTTATTGAAAGTTACTCTAACTCGCTCGTCCTCTGCAGCTATGAAGGTAAAAATACACTGCCGAGAATGATTCATGGGGTTGAATATTAATGGTGCCTCAAATGTACCATTCTTCCTGCCAACAGCATTACTGATGAACATACGGTCACATTCTGAAAGAAAAACAAAAAGTACTTTGTTTTCTCTGACACTTAGCTAGTTTAATCCCATGTTTTTATTTCTCTCTATATTCTTGAATTAGACAACTGATTAAACACAAGTTCAATATTCTGCACGTATGCTCCAGATACTAAAATGACCACCTAGAACATGGTTTATGGATACTTACTTAACCCTCTGTATATGGGCTGGGTCATTTTGACCAATCATGTTACCCAAGAAACTATACATACTATAACTTTTGATGTAGTAAGTGTATCTTCATGAAATTTAGCAAACTTTTAGCAAACATAACAAGTCTTACACACTATTTATTCTTACAGCCACAGCTAATACAATTCAAATCTCCTGTTCATTTAGATTTATTACTTTACTGCCACTTAAGTTAGTGCCAAACCAAATTATTTCAGCATAGAAGCTTTGTGTAAACACATCCTCAAGCAATCAGCATGAACAGTCAAATTACAACATGCTTCTTGTATAAAACATTCCTGTGATACTAAGTATTTTTTTACTTAATTTTTCTTCTAACCTAAAAAGGCTAAAATTTAACATTTTAGCTACTTTTATAACAACAGATAAAAAAATATACATAAAAGAACAAGAAATTTAGTACTTATGTGTAGGGCTTATACTTTTTGCTCTCAAAGTCTCAATAAATGTTAACCCTAGTTGTTAGTACTTTACTTAAGTTTTTATTTATTTTAAGTATGTAATTTAGAACACAAAGTAGTAACACTCAACAATAAATAATGTCCTAAAACTATTATAATTTAATTGACCTTCTAACTAAGCTGTATGTTCATTTAAATATTTTTCTTACCTGGGCAAGGTGATCTGGCTGATAGCAAACTACGAAATTAATGCAGAATAACTCAAAACTAATTGTGCAAATAAGGTAATCTCAAAAGGAAAGCAGTAATTTAAAATCTTATCTTTCTACTGGTAATAAATAATCCAATAGCAAATGTCAGAGAGAATTATTGATATTTTTTAAATATAGCATGTGCTAGAAGGGGTGTGTGGCATGTAAGTTTTAGCTTATGGTCTATAACTCATTAAAGCAAGAAGAACAGAGGCCATAAGTTTTGATTTTAGGTTTAGAATATCTAATATATAAGTGTGTAAGCCCTCAGAAGCATAGCAAATAATATAAGGGTGGAAAGAAATTCTAAAATTGGTAATTTGAAGAAAATGTCACATGATGCATAAAAATGAAGATTAAGAAATTATTTAAATATGTCCTTATAAACTTAAGAAATTAAAACTCATATAACATAAACATCTGAATTATAAACTATGTTTTGATGCCAAGTGTATTGACATACATTGCTAATAAAGTTGAATGAAACTATGTAAAAGGGTCATGACAAGTGCACTTTGACCTACAAGTATACATACAGTTAACTGGTCCCCCTAAAAAATTGTAATCTCTATAGATTGCAAGCATCCTACACACATAAATTGGATATGATACCACAGTGTTTCCTGTGTGGTACGTGTACCTCTGGTGGTACATGATATGATTTTAGGTGGTACGCAAATGACTTTTTTATTTTAATAGTTATATATTTACTTTAATGTGTATCATAAAAAAATTCTAAGAAAATATTTTAATGCAGTTATTACATTATCTGCTGACAATTAAACATTGGCTATTATTCAGAGGGCGTGTGCTTCATCTGGTCTGCTTTGTTATAACAATGTCATTTTGAGATGAGAAAAATAATGTTTTGAAATAAATATTATGGTAAGTGATACTGGTTTTCCATTTATCCTAGTGTTACGAAATTTCCTTTTAAAATAAAATATTTAAAAAAAAGTGAGTCGATTTAAAGAAAAATATTAAGTAAAATGTAAATAATAGTGCAGGTGGTACACAGATATGGCAAAAATCGTGAAGGTGGTATGCAAATGACTGAAGTTTGGGAAGCACTGTGATACCACATTACATATATTATAAGCTTCAAGTCTTATAAAAGCAATTTTACTGTAATTTTTAGTCTCTCTTGAAGTCAGAAATTGTACGCATTTAGGCATGACAAATACTGATAAATCAAGTGTCTAAACACAGCAGCAATATGCAAGCTTAGTATTCATATCTGGCAGAAACTTATAAATTTCATGTTGAGATACAAGTTAGGTTAGAAAATCCAGTGTCTAACACAACAGGAACACACAACTACAGTATCCATACATGGCATAAATATGTTAATTTGATGTGCAGATGTAATAAACCAGTTGATCAGTATATTTATATACACTAAAAACATGTAATTTCAGCATCCACACAGTCATGACAGAAACTTGTGAATTTATTTATTGTTCAGACAAATAGCAGAATTAATAAGTACAGTTTCTTGTAATGACAGAATGCATTAATACAGTATCTATTATAGATCCAGGGTTTTTACATGACAGAGACTAATAAACTCTGTAACTACACACATGATACAAACATGTAAATTTCGTAACCAGATATGACAGAAATTTGTGAGTTTAGTGTTTCAGTCATGACAGATAAAGGTAAACCCATTTCCCCCAAAAGATCAAAGCACCAGTGTTCAAGCACCACAAAAAAATTTAGACTTAGTGTTTAAAGAAGTTAGAGGGTATCCTTTGTCTAAATACTATGGGAATTCTTAAGATCAGTATCCAGAAACAATAAATGAACAGGTAAATGCAATGTCCACATGTACACAAGAGCATCAGAACATAACTAAGATATATGAACCCAGTATTTAGACACATGCATGTTGCTTCAATCCAATATCCATGGAACAGGAGCATATAAAGACAGTGTTACCACACAACTAAAATGACTTATGTATAACCACTGATCAGACATATCAAATACAGTGAGATTAGTGTTCTGATACAGCAGTCTTTACGTTCTTGATTAAACCAGTTTATTCTTCCTTGATACAACTTTTAGTACACAGAAGTTTCACAATCAGTACGTTTCTCGTCACTTTAAACTTAACAACTTTTATAATACATGCTATAAATCACAGCGATTCACAATCTTGATAACTTCGCTCTTGACAAATGCAAAATACACACTTTATGCCTCACTAGTTCGAAACTAACAGAATCATAAATTACACAGAACTCAAAGTAACTACTGGTCTGTCTTCATTCATTTCCACTGGTTTTATCTGCCAGGCTTATATATACTAACAAAGAGGGCCTCTTGAACACACTCGGACTTCCCCAATCATTCGAAAAACTTATCAGCAGCATCACATGACTTCCGCTGTCATAACACTGCCCTTCCTTAGTATTATTCATCCCAACCAATAGCCACTTACATTAAACTAATAGATAATTAACAATAACTTAATTAAATGTACAGAATTTACAAACACAAAATTAAAATACAACAAAGTCTCTTAATTTTACAGGACATTTCTTCTTTTGTACTATTCTCCGTCTCATTGGCTCTGCTTCACGTGGGATCCATCTGCTCCATCAGGAAATGTCCCATTATCAGTAGCAGTCACATTAGTGGTAGTAACTTCATTAATGGCTTCACTGTTTTCCCTCTCAAAACTGGGTAGAGTTTCTTCTTCAACAGTGGTTTTTTCAGGTGACACGTCTTCGGCAGCGTCATTTGTTCTGTTGTTCCTTTCATTCCAACTGAAATGTCCTGGACCGTGACAACACCAAAGCCTGTTGGCATACACCACCTTTGGCTTTCCTCGCCGACAACATTTTATTCGGAAAGTCACGTCTGAGAGACAATCCACTATATCATATGGGCCTTCCTATGGAGAAGACAACTTAGGAGACTTCCCTTTGGTCTTCCTAGGATTATACAACCACACCTTGTCTCCAGGAGCAAAGCTGACTTCAGTAGATCTCTCATCATAACATAGCTTCATGGAATCAGCAGACGTTTTCAAGTTTGAACGCACTTGATGGTGAATATCATCCATCCTTTCAGATAACAGTTTCACGACCTCTGACACATTTTCAGGCAACTCTTCGTAAGGTGGGCATCCTGGAGTGTATCCAGGGTCTTCATCCTCTGCTGTTCTATAGGCCATCAACAGTAGAGGGAGTAAGACATCCCAGTCATCTTGGAGGCATTACAAAACTTTGCTAATTCCTGTCCCAGTGTTCAATTGTACTTTTCTACCATCCCATCAGACTGTGAGTGAAGTGGAGTTGTTCTGGTCTTTCATATGCCAAACAACTTACAGCATTCATGGAACACAGCTGATTCAAAGTTACAGCCTTGATCAGAAAGCAGTTCGTATGCCATACCAAACCTGAAGAAGAAATCACTAATAGTCGAAGCTACAGTTGTAGCCTCCTGATTTGGTATTGCATATGCCTCAGGCTACTTGGTGAAATAATCCATCACCACACAAATGCACTTGTTTACAACACGAGTTTGAGGCAACAAACCAGCAATGGCTACTCTTTCCATTGGTGCACTAACTTGATATAACTTCATTGGAGTACATCCCATGTGCTTGGGTCCCGTTTTAGCACAACATGTACTGCAGGTCCTGCACCATTCTTCCATATCTTGCCTCATACCTATCCAGTAAAGTCTCTGCCGTAGATAACTCAATGTCCTCTTAACTCCAAGATGTCCTCCTGTTAAACTATCATGGGATTGATGCAGCACAACTTCCTGTAACTTTCTCGGTATAACTGTTTGCCAGGTCGTCACTTTCCCATCTCCAGACAAGAATACCACCTATTGTGCCCAATAGTTCTTTGTCACAGGGCTTAAGCTAGACACCTTCTCCCAAGCAGGGTGCAAAACACTTGTTTGTAGAAAATCAATTATTGGCTTCAAATCTTGGTCTTTCTCCTGTTCTGCTTTAATATCAAAACTTGGTTCCATTTCACCATCATCAACTCCTTCAGTCAATTTGACTTCAGCTTGATGGCACCTGGTTAGTTCAACTTCTCTTTTGCAGCAATGTCTGCAGTCATTTTTGCAGGGTTTTCGGTTCAATCCGTCGGCATTTACAAG